TATAAATTGTATAAAATCGATGGTAGGCACTGATGAAAGTGGCCTATTCCTTTTCGAGCCCTGAAACGAAATAGATAATCCATAGATGATCCATCTGTAGAGAGACTTTCAATAACAATCAAGTCAAGATTAAGGGAGTTTATTCCCGGGTACTCAAACTCCAGTTTTTCTTACAATAAAAAAGTGTGTTTACATGATGTTAAACAGCAAGACTACTGCAACAGCATGCCATGCGCAAATCCAGAATTCCCSTGTTGGCCACTAAAATGTGGATAATTCTTGGCTTTTAACTTCTGAGCAGTTGCTTGAGTGGTTTTGACAACACATTTYCTAATCTCGTTCAATTAAATATTTGTATTTTGACCAAATTAATGAAATTACCGCTACCTTACCGAAGTAAATTCCATCTTTTCTTGTCTTGTTGATAGCATATCTTGACGTTGCTGTTTATAGCCTTGTACGCAGACGCTCCGGTCATCCGCACTGCAGGAGGCTAGTTAGCTAGTCTGAAAATGAGTAAATGCCAGGAATTGCTTGGCAGGGGACAATAAAAAACGCTTGATATTTGTCTATATTTTATAATAAGAGAGATAATAAAAGCAAAAACCAAATATAAAGTGTTGCATGGATTTGATCGATCTATCCAAATGTTACTGAAATTGGACACCTTMTCTTGCCCCCTCAAAATGTTGTCACCTTTTGATGTTCTCCATGACAGTTAAAGTCGGGACTAGCTCGTCTGTATCAACTTTCCTGCTGAGGTCGGAACAGCGACTTGCTTCCATTTGACTTTTGCTGCAGTAGTGACAATTCGCCGGGGAATGGTCGTGTAGTGTATCAGCAATGAACACTACCGTAGCCCTGTGCAGAATTGCGATTCTGCTGCTTGTCATAGCTTGTGTGTCTTGGATTGCTGATGGACGTAAGTATATTATTTTAACAATAGCAATGCCAGATACTATTTATACATTGCATAATTGTAGACAAACAGTATTTCAAAATTGATTTAATGTTYAATATTCTGCCATTATATAAGATGATTTTAAACATGTTATTATATAGATATTAAGGCATTTAATACGAATGATTATATTCGTATATGTTTAATGGTCTATTCGATAGTAAAGTATTCCTCGTTTAAACATATGCGTTGCGATCTTCTGCCGCGGGCTGTTCGGCTAACCCTCAGCATAGAAGCAAACAACTTCTATTAAGATTTCAGTTCGTATAGTAGCTATGAAGTCAATAGTCAGTAAGGTATCGGGCTGTCGAGTGACARTAGCACGCCCACAATGTAACAAAGACTTTTTGTTTTATTACCGTCTCGAATTGAAAATATAACAGTTACCCAAGCAATTTCCATACAATATTACAAGAATAATATAATAAGTGATTTATGTAACGCAGTATCCGCTTCCATTTGTTTTGATCTTATGAATGACTCTTTATATTAGGTCTATTAGGGCAATGTCTCGGCATATAAATGCCCATGCTTATTACCATTGAATAACGTCATGGTTAGAGWTATAATCATAGATCTAAAGCAGATCTATGATAGGCGTTATTTAGTATCAAATGGTCTCAATTTAAAAATATTTTATAAAGGTTTTCGTTCTCTGAAACACGKTGGGCAGTTCACGGTGATCTCTTGTGAATAATCTGGAAAGGTCACATACAACTAAAACTAATAATATATTTTTTAAATAATTCAGATTTTTGTCTTGTTTATACGATTCATTGTTTATTGATTCATGTAGTAGTTTGTTTGGTGAATAATGCATATAGTCATGATATATCCTGCTCGTTATGTTCTTCGTTATATATTTAAACCGGAAGTGCCTTTCACTGGCGACTCTGCTMTGGCTGTACCTACAATGTAGTCTAGACAATTCTAGTATTCTGTGCTAAATCATCTAATCTAAATCATTAATACTTCTATATGTAATGAAAGCCTTTAATTGGCTAGAATCAAGCAATAAAATGATTTCAAGTCAAGATAATTTTACATGAGACGTGCCAAACCACTCTCGGCAGACTGTGGTGGGCATATGRTAAAATCAAAACTCGTGGATGATGGACTCATTGGACGGAACGAACGGATCCAAAACGTTCTTGTATAATTTCTAATCTTATGCTGCTACAAAKTTAAAAACGCTTATACCGCTCAGTGTTACATTTACGAGTTTTACGATAATGCTTAATTTATCTCCGGCATTATCTAGGATATTACCAACAGACTTTCCAAGACAGGGTTGAAAAGTAAGCCTCAGCAAGACCATGCRATTACTGTTATTTTCGATTTTGACCCTGTTTTGTTGGGTGCATAAGGAGTTACAAAAATACTGAGAAATATGTATTTTACGATCGCTGCTGTAGTCTACAGCCCTATACATTCTTGAGACGTACCGCGCAAAGTGCGTATRCAACTTTGCAAATCATGACACTTTTAAGCAGAGAAAAGCGCACGAGATTTCAACCCCTGCATTGGCTTTGTGGGAGGGACGTGCGGGGAAATATTTGGCTCGAGGCAATCAGCCATTTTACAAATGACCCAAGRGCCAAATACTTCGCACGGCCAGACCTTACTCAGTCAATAAGCATTTTATCGTATGACTCCATTATAAAAGCAGAAAAGCACCGGTGGGAGAGTTAAAAAAAGAAAGCTCCCGCGACCTCTCATGACGACATTTCWTTCGAAGGTTCTCATTAGGTTCTCATTCGTMCCGCTTAAGTAAAGGTGCAGACTCGTACTCAGTCGTTTCTCTTGCTCRTTTTACGGGTCRMATTGCATCAAGGGAAGTCCGAACTTCCCTTGATCATTAGCAYTCGCCAGAGAAAAAAGAGTAACGACTGGGTACGAGTCCGGTAAAGGCGTAKGCCCCCAATMACGTGGCTTTTCCGAAGRAGGRAAAATATGTCTCATATTATGTGCTAAAMGTAGCCCAAAASARCATTCAAAACAGCATCATTTRATCCTCGCAATTGCTAAACATAGTAGATTTTAGAGGGTTAACCACGTCGAAATCCGACTCAACACCCTYAAAGTTTGCAGCAGCACAATAGAAATTCAGTTATGTGACTGAAATGATTCGTCTGCATACGCCTAACTATAGAAATCTTCGATTATTTATTGTACTAGAAGATTTCTTTAAACTCCATTCAGATTCTGACAAATCCTTTTCAAATAATCTGTAAAGGCTAAATCCAATCTACTTGTCTTTATCTATGCCATATAACATATAATTAAATACCGTTTATGAGCAAGAACACACCTCCAAAACAAGCTATAATCGATAAATTTCCCACGGTTTTGAGTTGTATGCCCTCTTATTAGTGCACTCTTGACGTCATGAAATCATTCAAAACTCAAATGGACTGTGTTCACTGCGAAATGTTTGAGCATCTTATGACATATAACGAAAAAGCGTGTTCAGTTTTCGTCGAAAAAAAAATTATCGAAAATCTTCTTTTAAATGAGCGCGCACGCGAAACGTGATGTGTCAACAAATTGTGTTTATCCTCCCATTGGTGCTCGGCCAGCCAGCGCGCGAAATTTCACACAAGGATGGTAAAAAAAATAAACCTCTATTGCTTATGAGAATACAAAGCACATACGCTTCAGTTTTCATCTTATAAAAGGAATAACACTTGATTTGTTTTATCGGCTTATAAAACACTTRGGGATAGTCAAATACTCGTAAGTTTAAGAGGCACTCAACTACCTTCAACTACGTTTCACCCTTTGACCTCGGGTTTTCTCGTGTTCTTCTTATGCCCAGGTGCTTCATTGAAATTGATAAACGAGGGTGTACGCACATCAGTATTTTCTTTAGAAAAGCTTCGTTTTGTTTGGTGATGGCTATCGAAGAGGTTTTGTGTGTTGTCACTAGCCATAACTGTTATTGTGTTATCTGAATAGAAAAATAAACTAGATGGCATCCATGTCTCTAGCCAGTTGTCGGAGACTCTTTGTTGTTGTTGTCGTCGTTGTTGTTGTCGTCATCATTTATCGTTTTGTTTGATTGCTTGCCGTTTATTTTTTTGTTGTCTTTTTGTTGCTGCTGTTGTTTTTGTTGTTGTAGGTTATCGTTGTTGTTGTCGTCATAATTTTTGTTTCGTTTACTTGTTTGCCGTTTATCTTGTTGTGGATATTTGTTGTTCTTGTTTTTGTCGCTGCTTTTGTCATTGCTGATTTTGTTGTTGTTTTTTTGTTTGTTTGTTTTTGTTTTGCAAATTCCAGTTTTACATAAATGCAAATGTTCAGTTTCTCTATGACAACGCTGTAAGTGTATCCATGTACACAAACGTTAACCCTAATTTAGTATCAACAAGTATAGATTCCTTCCAACGTCCAATTTGTCCACATCCATGAGTCATAATTTTCAACATGACTGGCATGATTAATCATGATTAACATGATTAAGCGTAAGTCTGYAGAGTACATCTCYACCTCCAGTCCTACAGACCGTTCCTTCTTCCAAGCTGTGTCAAGCACTTATGTCAAAAAATCGTTTAATATACCTAGTAGGGAAAGACCTTCTTGCGCCTGCTTTTGTCGTTGTCTGAATGATAAAGACTTCTCTTGTTTTTCTAACCTCCTATGCACCAATATCCAATCTCTCTTGTATATTTAGCTAAAAAAATGCCAATAAAGCATTCCGAAGCATAAAGGCTTAATACGGAAACTATGATGTTATGAAAGATTTCTGACTAAACCTTTTTTGTGAGATTATGTGAGTCTCGAGTAGATCTTAGACCAACTTTGAGAGAAAAACTGTAAARAAAACCTCCCATCACAAGCTCGATACTCTTGTTATTAAAACGTTTATTATAAATTATTTATTTATATGATATAGAGGATTCTACTTTTGCGAGCGGAGTTACTGTTTTATCTTCGAGAGTTGAAGTCAATGTAACAAAGTGACTGAAATCCATATTCTAGAGAGTAAATAGTGAGAGTCACTTGAGGCCAAAAAAGATTGTAGAACAATAAGACTCGGGTTTGTTTGCCATCTGGCAGTTCTTATTTTATACGTCGGAAACTGCAAACCTGCGGGAACTTTTTCAGATACTACACGTGGTTTTCATGACGATCCGGCCTACATATTGCAATGACATTCGCAAAATGATTTTGTGGCAAACATGATAAGACAATGTTCCTTCCAACCTTTTGAACTTCAGTGATACAAATAATACGAAGTGGATTACCATAACTTGGTCGGGGTCATGGAAAATATGGTAAAAGCACGTTTCAAAATTAATATAGGTTGCCCCTCCATGTTCTCCTTGGGTAAATGATTKGYTAAACTATTTATCCGTAGTCATTTCAAGTAAGTTAAGTCCTTGTTTTTTATAATTTTATCCAGTTATTCGCAGCAACACAACCCAGCTTACTTTTTTCCGTGACCATGTCTGACTGACAAATGGCGCACTGTTATCTAATCGTCTGTGCAGTGTCGCTAGAAATGCTTACATGCAGCTGGGAAACCCCACACGAGCATTTTGAGAACTTGGTTTGTCACAAAAAGGAAYATTCGAGGTCACGAAATTTCGCTTAGACAAATAAACAAGCTGAAAATGATTCGATGGGTTTTTCATAAGGAATTTTGTGTGAATTAAACGGGTCAAAGCTAAATCAGCGTTTGAGAACTCACACAATTGTGTTAAAATTTGTTGGAACCCTTTTATTGTTTTTTTTTTTTACAACGCAATCAATCGACTTCCAATAGATGAATTTCTCGCTGGGAACCAGTTGTGAATTCTAGCTGGCTGGGACATAAAAACAGATATATTTCTCCCAGGAACACGTCGGCTCCTCCCAACAAGACGTCTCTTTTTTGCTCGATAAATTGACCATATAAGAATATTGAATGATATTTTATTAAATAACAGAAAAAATGTCCAGAAAGACTTTCTGTTAAATTTTAATGTATAAATACAATTATTGCAAGAGTCGTTTTTTGCTTTGTTGTTGTTGTTGTTTTTGGGGGGTTGTGGGGCACTGTGCCTGTGTAAACGTCGAATAGCGTAGGTCGTAGGCGTGGTATGCGGTAGAATCATTTGCCTGTCTTTGAAATATCAGGTCGATGGCCGGGTCGATGGTTTTCCATTTTCACCGTCTTACAATCATTACAAGAATAAAATATGGCTTTCATTAAGTAAAATATGTTATATAGAACATTACCTTATATTAAATCWATTTTCCAGAGCTCTATCAGCGACGAGTTTGTCCCACAGTAAGGAACATWAAATCATGGCGAAAATGCAAAAATGTTCCAGACAGATGTAGCTCAGATGAAGATTGTCCTGATGGCGGAGAACGATGTTGCCCGACTGAGAGCCAATGCTACCTGTCATGTCAAAAGACTGTCATTCCAAGTAAGCAGGAATTCACATGATWCATTTATTCGCTCATGCTCAACGTCMTCAACCTAGGGCCCAGGGGCGGTTAAAATTAGGTGAGGTGAAGGGWCTGCGGACTAACCTTTTTTGCTGAAGAAATTGCTTTTATAC